TTAATTAAGAATAATAAGTATAATATTTAAAAATAATAATAAAAAATAAAACAAACGGGTCAATTTGTCAACTTGCGAGTTGACCATAACCCGATCCGTGACTCATACGAGTTGATAATATTGGTTATCTACGGGTTGCGGGTTGCGGGTTGGGATATGTAGACCCTAACCTGTTTTTAAGGGTCGGATTGACTGGTCAGGTGTATTTTTGCCAGGTCTACTCGTAGCTAATGGAGTAGATACAAAAGGGGCTAATTGCACTCTTTTGTAATTATAGGGGTAAAGCACACATTTCCAAAACCAAAGGGGGCCAGACGGTAAATGCAAGACCCCCCCCCCCCCCAAAAAAAAAAAAAAAAAAAAGAAAAAACTGAAAACCCCGATTCGCCTTGAACTCCGCCGTCCCGCTCGGACTAGAATTTACAGGTTTAAACAAGATAAAAACCGTTCCTCTTCTTCATCAAGGAAAAAAAAAAAAAAACCGTTCCTATTCCTTCTCTGATCATATTTTGCTCTGTGCTTATCCGACCATGGCGCAGGCGACGGAATCTAGAGTGTTTTTACACGTCTACTGCTTGTTAAGGGATACCCCGCAGGAGGATGTCGCCGTCTTTGATCGCAGCAACTTCAACTTCACCATTCAAATCACTTCGTATGAAGAAAAGGACGGCATCGTGGTCTCTGATTCTGTGGATTTCGTTCACAAAATGGACCTCCCGCGTGCTCGGTTTCCCCAGTCAGAGCTTCACCGCATCTTAGGAGACTACCTGGTTGAAATCGGAGGACCAGAGTGCAATGTCGACGCCTTATTGGCCACGGTTATCCCTCCGATTAAGGAGCGTATAGATCAAGATGCAAGTTGGAGGATCGAATCGGTTATTTTTTGCATTCACAGGCCAGTTAGATCAGAGGACGAGTCAGATTCATCGGAAGGTACGGTTCTTCAAGAATCAGTGGAAGAAAGTGAGCCAATTTCGAAGGAAGACGAGCAAGATTCATCGAAGGCTAGGGTTTTGAGGGAATCCAAGGAAGAAAGCGGCGGCAAACTGATTTCGGCGGCCAAAGAATCAATTGGAACACTGGAAAGAATCAGGATCACAGATGAATGTACAATTTGTGAGAAGCACCTGGCGGAATCAGCAGATTTGATTCGCATTCCGTGCTCTCATCTCTTCCACGAAGGTTGCATTGTACGGTGGCTCAGTAAAAGCAAGCTATGTCCTCGCTGTGGTTTCGCAATTCAGACGACTCGCCCCTTCTAATTCCCAAAGCTTCGATTCTTTTTCCCATTTTTAGGTGAGTGGCCAAAATCCCTATTGCTAATAAAAATTAGGATTCCATGTTTAGCAATACAGTATATGCATAATAGTTTTTCTTAAAAATCAATACAAAGTTTATGGCAGAAGGTGCAAATTGAGCCCTTCTACTTACAATGTTATGGCATGTTAGTCTCTTTACTTCAAATTAGTGCAAATCAACTCCTCATTTGTTAAACCATCCATTGCCACATTGGGATGGGATGACTAGGCACTGATTAGGTGATGATTAAGCACTGATTAGTTAATGATTAGGCACTAATTAGACAATAACTTGTCACTTTAAAGATTTTCAAATCTCTTTTTTGTCTACATAATTGCCTAATCATCCCATTTTAACTAGACAATGAAGGGTTTAACGAAAGAATGGAGTTATTTTTTTAACTAAAATGGCCTGAATTGCTCCTTCTACCCAATGTTTATATTTGACTCGTATGGTGATTATTATGGGGTGGGACACAAATTTCACGTTTAGTTGACTTTTTGTTTATTTATTTACTCACACATCTTTAATTTATTTAAAAGCTTTTATTATTGGTTTAAAATATTCAATTTTTCTTTATCTTCTAAAATATTTTGTAATCAATTTTGACGTTTTTTTCTTTTTTTTCTTTTTTCTTTTTTCTTTTTTCTGTGCAATCCATAATGAAAACACTAAACTCTTAATTTATATGTCTAGAATCTGAGTTTGAAAACACTAAATTCCTTCCATCCCATAATGATAGTTATTTTAATAAGAATAAGATTAATGACTTATTGATTTGAGTGAAAATAGTTCAATTCTTTTTCGAGTTTAAGTTTTGTAAATGAAAAAACATGCATTACTAGGGTTTCCTCCTTCATGGAGTCTAATGTAATTCGACTCTAAATTCGTTGAAATTTAATGTGACTTTCAGATATAGGGGATTAATATCAATAATAAAAAATAAAGAATAAGAATTTGTTTAAACATATGTCTTACATATCATGCTTACACACAAAATATTGATCATTCATTTCTCAACTTTTAATAATTGATATTTATTACAATTTATTTATTCCTCTACTTTTAATAATTGAAATTTCTCATATTTTTTAAATTAAAAAATAATTATCTTTAATAAATATGATAAAAAGTAAATAAAATTTTGGGTAGTATTATAGGACAACCTTTTTGTCTCACCTTTTTATACAACTTTTATATGTTATTAAATGAGTGAATGCGTTTAATATCATAGGTCTCACATGAATTAAAAAATCCAATTATTATAATAACACATCAGCTTGTGTAAAAAGGTGGGACAAAAAATCGCACAAAAAGCGTTTCCCTAAAATTTTATATAAAATTTGGTGTGTGAAATTTATATATAAATAGATCCTAACTCTTTAATAAATATTATTTAATATTCATCTTACCACTATATAGTTTTAAAATTAGTTAGTCTTAAATGAATACTCTCTTTGTTCATTTTTAGTAGACCTAATTTAATTTTTTGATTTCTAAGACATAAATTTTAGATAAAAATTTAACCGTCTGTATGAAAATAATTGAATTTTTTTTTGTTTCTATATATAGTTCTTGTTAAATATTTTTATTTAGTCAACAAAATTTTAATTGTTATTTATATAAATTGTTAAATTTATATCCACAATATATGTTTTAAAAGTTAAAAAATCATATTAATTCTACTAAAATAAATAGAAGGAGTACTTATTATTAAAATAGAATAGTTTATGAGTGTTTGTTTGTCTAAAGGTTTAAGTTTGATTAATAAATATTTTTACATATACAAAATATATATATATATATATCAGTTTTACTTTTAAAACTTTTTTTAAATTAAAATATTCCTATTGCAAATGGAATATTTTTTCTAAAGTAAATAATATTTCAATTTTGTAAATGAAAGAGTTGTATCGAATGAATTGAGCAGGTATTAATATGATAATGATAAAGAATTTCTTTATTAAAAGAATTTGATATAAAATCAATTTAAGATAAAAATATTTTACTTGACATGATAACAAAATAATTATTTTATATGAAAAATTAAATTTTACTTTATTTTAATTAGTGACAA